CTACGCTACTTGGTTTTCGTGTTTGAGTAGAGTCACGAGACTACCAGTAAATCAGTAATATGGAATTAGGGATTGGTAGTTAGCTTTCGTATGAGCAACTGAGTAGACAGCTTTGGAAGGTCCTTTTATTTCTCGCAGACCCCGTTGCTTTCTCCTTCAACCTTAACTACCGGAAAGACTTCACCCTGGTTTCATTTTCACCTCGATGGAAGCCGAAATCGGGCTGTGTTTCACACTCTCATTACTTCTAGCATCCGGCAAAAAGGTTAAAGGTGACTAATATACTCATCAAAGGTCTACTGGTGGTTGAGAAGCCCATTAATTTTGCAACAGTAGAGTGGCTGGTTGTGATGACAACTCCAAGTTTGCTCTATCGAAGCAAATCCATGAAGAAAGGTGAATTGCGAGCAGTCTGGTCTGTGAAGAGAATCAGACCCTTTCCTCACCTTATTTTGTTAGGGAGAGCTAAATAGACTCTAATGTGGTTCACTTTTAACGATCTGGTACCCAGTCAAGAAGCACTGATGGTTTCACACCCAACCTCACCACTCGGTAGATGTATTATGTTATTGTAATAACTAATTTCATTCTAATTCTTAGTTTTTTTCATTTGCCCATTCAGAAGATGAGTACATCTCTCCCACGCTGAGTTCGTCGATCAAGCCCGTCTTCAGCTGGCAGCTGTTCAACGCCTCCGACAGTCGAATGGGCTATTTGCAGGCAATTATGGGATCAAGCAATTTCTATCCGTGCGCCAACAGTTGGTGGGTCGGCAACGCTGTGGTCGCGTGTCGCACGCTGGGCTTTGAGTGAGTGTCCAACATTTCTTGCTCCGGGCCGAGCAACAAAAGTGACATTGGGTTGCGTAGAGTGCCGTGGTGATCTAATGTAAAAGGATTATGCATTTCGAAGGAAATGTTGGCGCGAAGGAATTGGTGATTTGGTCGCGCCGGAAATCGTGACGGGGTTGGCGCGAAGTCGAGTGAAGACGGTGGAAATGTGCAAACAAGCCCATCGACGATGAGCTTGTGCTATGAACAAGTATTGTGACATGATTGACCATTTCGAAAGGAAAATTGGTTGGAACGAATTTGAGATGTGGTCTCACCGGAACCCGACGGGAGGGTTGTCGCGTAGTGAAAACTGTTGAATTGTGCCAAGAAGTCGTCGACTCACCTTTCTCCGGTCCTGATGAATCCGTGCAGTTTTGTCAGTGCATTCCACTCACGAAATGTTCACATAAAACAACAGCTGTTACCACATCCGCCCCTTTTTGCATATACCGAATTCACTTATATGTAGGCATGAAGTAGACAACCAAAGCACAGAAAGCTACATTAATATAACAAAGTTGCTAAGCATACTTCCATTTCGAGTGAAAGGGTTTAGTGAAGAGATGCAAAGGTTGGTTCCACTAAAAGACGACCAGCGACGGATTCCTCGTGACGAGCTGTCGAATGGCTTTACTGGAAGATTCATGCACGAACACACATTCTTATTCGAAAATGAGGAGTCTTCCAGAAAGAGCATCAGGGATCGGTTCTATCCAATCAACTTAGTCTCCGATCTGTACGGATCCAGAGTGACCAAAAGTTAAGGGATATTTCTTTTAGATTTCATAATTTATGAGCAAAGAAAAGTTGAATTTCGAAGAATCTCTTGTTTCATAATTGTTGAGCTTACTTCCATTTCGAGTGAAAGTGTTGGTTGAAGAGATTCTAA